GTCGTTTCGTGCGCATAGACAACGTTCTTCAAGTGTTTTCGATCTGTTTTTATTTGATTACCCGGCTTTCGTTTAATGGACTGTTTCTGCTTTTCAAACTGACATCGGCGCTAAATCGGATTTCGATTGTGTTTTGTATTGCGTTCTTTTTACTTTTGGTGCATAATAATGCCTAAACGTGGACAAACATTGAAAAGTGGAACCCGTGAGTTAATCATCAAGCTGCAAGATTACTTTGAGCGGGAGCGGCAAAATGGCGGACCGCTGTTACCTGTCGAACAAGTACAAGAACGCGTCTCTCAGGCGCTTGGACTTAGCAAACGAACGATAACAAATATTAATAAAGAAAAGTTCGGCTCTACTGGCACGGAAGATAATATTTTACGTACTCCGAAGAAGAAACGTAGAACTAAACCCGTGACAGATATTGACACCTTTGACGCCGATGCAATCAGAAATCATATATATGGTTACTATTCCAGAAATGAATATCTCAACAGGAAGAAGCTTTTGGCATCGTTAAGAGAAGCTGGACTGTTTAGCGGGGGTAAAACTGCTTTAACCAAAATCTTAAAAGATATTGGTTTTTCGTATAAAAAAACAGACAAAAGAAAAATTTTATTAGAACGATACGACATAATTTTAAAACGGATAAGTTTTTTAAGAGAAGCAAAAAATATTGATAACTGGGATAATGTCGTGTTCATTGACGAGACATAGCTAAACGCCAATCACACGGTTTCCCGTTCTTGGACGGATGATACACAAGCTTCGACGTCGAAAGTACCAATGGGTAAGGGGGCCCGTCTGATAATATGCCACGCAGGTTCTGCAAAATACGGCTTTGTGGAGAACGCGTTACTGGCATTTCAATCAAAAACCACAAATGACTACCACGAGGAAATGAATGCCACTACATTTAAAGAGTGGTTCCAGAACGTGTTTTTGCCCAGCCTACCAGAGTCTTCTGTAATATTCATGGATAATGCCTCCTATCTGTTCGCGACGGTTTAAAGTCTTTAAGCAAAAAGTGATGAAAGAATATTATTTTGTATAAAAAGTGAAATTACCAACGAAATCAAGCAGATTGTGTATTAATATAGTTTTACAATGTGTTTACAACTCTTAATATATTTGTATAGAATGTCGTTTTAATAATAGTTGATATAAACAACTTTAAGCATTTAAGAAAAATTCGACCAATCACAGCGCATCATATCGTAGAACTTTCTGGAAGTTAAATTAACTGCGCAATAGTTTGTATTGAAAATAATGGGAATATTTTTTTGTTCTAAAAGAGTTGTAAATATGATATTTAGTTAGCATATGGTGTATAGATTGCAATAGTAAAGAAATAATTTGTGTAAATAGACGCATTTGATAAATATAGAAAAAAAAAGCTTTTACAAAAATTTACTTCGCAAATATCCGCGTTATAAAATAAAATGATGTGTCTTACCTAGTATGAAGAAGCACCTCCCGCCCTCCCTCAATTGCGTGCACTATCCCCGTCACCACTAATCCCAGCACCGCTACTTCCAACACCACTACACTAGGCAAGACACACCACTGACGATAATACGACACGTGTTTCGCCTCTACACGAGGCATCCTCAGGTGATATAGACTCTACGGTGGCTAACCGCTAAGTGAGCGGCGAGCCAAAACAAGTGCCTTTTATACAAAAGGAGCGAGCGACTGCGTCATGCGATAAAACATGCGACCAATCACCGCTGGACTTACGCAGCCGTTTGTAAAATTAAAAACAAACCGCCGCGCAACGCCCACATTATTAGAGAGCAGGCTTGAAGATATTTAAGAGAGGTGAGTTAGTAACATTTGTTTGTTCATTCAGCTATGCAACGGTATTGTTATTACTTTTTAATATCTCTAACTGTTCCAGCACACACAGCCGCAGCCCTTTATTACACGTATGTAAGACTTTAAAGGAGTGGTCGTTGGCTAGGTTGTGTCCAGTGTCCAAAAGATGTTTGGCAAAATGGGATTAAAAAGTAATAACAATACCGTTGCATTGCTGAATGAACAAACAAATGTTACTAACTCACCTCTCTTAAATATCTTCAAGCCTGCTCTCTAATAATGTGGGCGTTGCGCGGCGGTTTGTTTTTAATTTTACAAACGGCTGCGTAAGTCCAGCGGTGATTGGTCGCATGTTTTATCGCATGACGCAGTCGCTCGCTCCTTTTGTATAAAATGCACTTGTTTTGGCTCGCCGCTCACTTAGCGGTTAGCCACCGTAGAGTCTATATCACCTGAGGATGCCTCGTGTAGAGGCGAAACACGTGTCGTATTATCGTCAGTGGTGTGTCTTGCCTAGTGTAGTGGTGTTGGAAGTAGCGGTGCTGGGATTAGTGGTGACGGGGATAGTGCACGCAATTGAGGGAGGGCGGGAGGTGCTTCTTCATACTAGGTAAGACACATCATTTTATTTTATAACGCGGATATTTGCGAAGTAAATTTTTGTAAAAGCTTTTATATAATGGATTTCCGCAAAGTAACGCCTGATTCTATTAATTATAAATATAGAAAAATTAAAGAATTAATGTAAACATTTGTCATGAAAATTTGGTACATTTCGTTTAATAACTTTTTTAAATGTAAATATATTGAATAACCTTTATCACATACTGATAAAGGACCAAAATGCCTATTTAATGATGTATAGCGTGTTAATGTAACAATTAGCCTTGTATAGAAAATATTGCGATTTGTGCTGATTACATAGTGAAAATGTTTAAAAATAAAGAGGCAAAACGGAAAATGGCAAGCGGCTCTCTATACAGTATAGCCGAAGTCTACCTTATGGGGGCAAATCTCAGTAACGTTGTAGTAGGAAGAACTACCAGTAACAAGCAGTAGTATCCGGTAGTAGCTGAAGTGACTAGTAGCAGAACATAGTGAACAGTTATAGTGAATTAGAAAAAGTTTAGCTAGCCGAAAAAGGTCGTAACTGAAAATCGCAGTTACACATAGCCGAAAAAAGTGGCAACTGAAAATTCGCAGTTGCATATAGTAAAATAGTGTTAGCTAGCCGAAAAAAGTGGTAACTGAAAATTCGCAGTTACATATAGTGAAAAAGTGTTAGCTAGCCGAAAAAAGTGGTAACGGAAAATTCGCCGTTACATATAGTGAAAAGTGTTAGCTAGACGGAAAAGGTGGTAACTGATATTCGCAGTTACACAAGTGATAAATTCAACTAGTTTTAGTTGATTAATAGCTGCTAGTCAGTAGTGTTAGAAAACCAGCTACTACCAATAGATATTTTGATACTACCAATAGATATTTTGTTACTACCAATAGATATTTTGATACTGCCAATAGATATTTTTATACCAATAGAAATTTTAATATTACCGCACATTTTAATTGAATCTTTTGAAATATATAGTGACCAACCGATAGTGAACAACCGTAGTTGAACAACCGTGTTGCAACACACACAGAGACGGCAGTGAAAGTATCCTCCGGAACCTATAGGTGTAGGACGTGAGCGACTCGCGGAGTATCTTCGACAACATTTACTCCGGAAAGATACGCCCGTCCGGCACACTATCACTCGGTTCAAATACAGAAACCACCTACCCAAGCTAATAAAAAAGAAGAAATGGTGGCTTGGTTACAAGCAAAAGGCATTGACGCAAATATGCAGTTGCTAAAACCAGAGCTAATTAAATTAGTTAAAGAAAATAAAGCGGCAAATGTGCGATACGAAATCGATGAACTGGCTCTGGAGTACGGTCATCGCGTTCTAAGAATTCCACCGTATCATTGCCAATATAACGCGATTGAGCTAATCTGGGCTCAAATAAAAGGTTACGCCGCCCGCCACAATACTTCCCCGCCATTCAGCACGAAAAAGATGATGACCCTATTAAAAGAAGCCTGCGGGGAAGTCACAAGAGATGACTGGGCAAAGGTTGTTGAGAAGACTAAAAACCTGATTGTGGAACATTTTGACCGAGATATCAGAATTGATTCTGTTATTGATAATAATATAATTATATATGTATGTTGCCGTGTAGTGGCGGTCAAGAATATCCACTACCCCATATCCTCCCGTGGGTGTTGTAAAAGGCGACAAAGGGAAACAGGCAGGAGATGGGCAGCAGCATCTTCCTGATAATAGCCAAAATTACAATAAAAAAACTGCGGTTGCCAACCCGCTCGCCAAGCGTGGCAACTATGGCAAATACCCCCCTATGAATGTAACAAAGAGACGGCCCCCAGTCCCCGGCGGCCCCGCTATTCCTGGCTACGGTGGCGACCATGGTAACGGCGGGCGAAGATGATGATGAAGACACCACCTCCTCAAGCGAATCGGAGTCTGATTAATATTCTGTACGCACATTCAATTCAATGTACTTTATTGCATAGAAATACAGATTGTAACTTTGTAACAAAAAATAAATAAAACAATTTTATTATATTAATATTACCTTTTTTTGCTTTCCACTTAAATTACTAAAATATAAATTTTAAATGATTCCGCCAATTTAAAACGAAAATAATCTTAAAAATAACGCGGCGGTTCATTTTGGAGGAACGGTAACGAACTCAGTGTTATGTTGTGCCCATCACTAGTCGTGACTAGGTGATAGGTGTCACGAACGCATTCTCTGAACGGCCGAACTATAATACGATTAAAAATAAATAAACTAAACCACAGATATTCGTAAAAGTAGAAAAATTAAAAAAAATCAAAAAAGTTTAAAAAATTAAAGAGCAAACCACTGAGGCATTGTTTTGTGTATTAATACAATACTCTTGAAACTGGTAAACTTTTATTGAAAACCAACCTGTGTCAACTAGCGACATCTGGTGAGCAGAAAATTATTAGCTCTCATTCGGTCGATAAACTTCATTCTAGGGCGTCCTTTGTCGACTCTGCCACTCACTTCTGGAGCATAAATTTGCTGTCACTCTTTCCTCATTCATTCTTTCTACGAGTACAAACTACCGAAGCATGAATCTTTTTTTACCATAATGCCGTTGTTCGTGCGCACGCTCTCCCACACTTTCTGTATGACGTCTTCATAAGACTTCAGCGCTGTCTTCTTTTTACTGGAGCTCGATAGGGAGAACCGCGTCGTCGACGTACCGGCCTGTGGACAATGACAATCATAGTTTTTTTTTTTTTTATAAAGCTGAAATGACAAACGAACTTACAGTACAACTGATGGTAAGCGGCTTCTGCAGTTGATGAACTCAACTTCAAACAAAGAGAACTACAGATGCGTTGGATAAGGATTAAAATGGAGTGGATCTCAGCGTGTAATGAGCGCATCCACGACTATTTCTGCCACTAATTAAATAAACGTTTTTCTATTCTAAGAATAGATTAGATAATTTAAAATTAAAAAATTTGTACAGTCGACTTCAATATAAGTTATTAAGAATAACTGTAAAACTATTGGTCTGACCTTGATCAAATTCATATGGGACCACACGAGATGTATCAAAATAGACAGCCGGGGCATTACAGAGGCGAACGTATCTAAGCGAACATGCTATAAAAATTGCTATTGGGCGACAGAAATAGGTAAGAAGGTGGAATCTACCCATATAAGGCATAGAAAAGGAAAAATGTGTTATTATGGCTGTGGTAGGAATGGGTCTGGAATATGGGTGGGAATATTAAATTTTAGCAAATCTTTACATCACACATCGATCGTAAGCTGATTATTTTATGGTATCCTGGTAATCCTGATCAGGATACTAGGATAAAAATCGGTCCTTGGTACGAGTGCAAATTTTCAAGACGTTCCGCCGTCTACAAGTTGGTGAAAATATATATAAATTATATAAATATTCAGCTACATAGATAAATAGATAGATACAAGCGTAGCTAATAAAAGCGTGTTTGAATAAAGATGGCACATAACAACATACGCACCCTATGTACGGGCGCGCACACACAGTTGACGAGAACGTTGAGGGCCGCTTTTTGCACTTCCGGCTCCGGTACTATCTCCCCATCCGCTGCGCCTGACAACAAAAATTAAAAATCAAAATAAGTACTAATTTTTAAACACATGATAAAGTCACGCTGAGGATATATTATGGTTGTAGCACTAAGGCGTCTACTCGATCGGGGAAAGACAACGCTCTTATGGAATACCAGCGTAAAATAGCAGCTTAATGCTGATGTGTTTTGTACGGTGAGTGTAGAAAACCGGAGACCCTTTTTACTGGAAAAGGGGCATTCAATTTTAATCCTCACGGTCAACCCTAAATATAACTGACCTAATGTTCTTCTATAAAGTTATTAGAAACTACATATGCTCTCCAGAACTCCTCTCAAAATTTTGCTTTAGAGTGCCGCGGAGAATACCTCGTGCTCCTATTAAGCCTCTAGTATGCCCATTCCGTCGGACGCTACTAGGATCGAATTCCCCGATCTCTAGAATGAGCCATATTTATAACAAATAGTGTGACCATCACCAAATCCTTGACGTACATTGTATGACAACCACTAAATTTAAAAAAAACCAACCAAAAAATAAAATGTTTGTTTAGAATAAAAATAAAATAGAATGTTTTATTGTGTAAGCGATGATTATCTATAAGTGATTGTGAATTATGTACTAGATACTAAGTTTTAGCAATTAAGATTTTGAATAATGTAACAATCGTTGGTAATCTAATTGAATAAAATAAAAATAACTATTATATATTAACTATACTATAACTTCTCTATAACTCCAAAAACTTTAAGATTGATACGGTCAACTCTACAACTCTAGTGAACGGCATTGAAATAGCTACAAATCTAAATTGCAAGACCCACATTCAAAAATTAGCATGTAAATTGTCTTAATTTATATTTGCAGTCATATATTAAAAAAAGTAAACGACAGCTCTTTCGGCGTATTATGCATACGCTCAGTCTATACTTACTTACGGAATTGTCATTTGGGGCAACTGTACTGACATAGATAACATTTTCAAATTGCAAAAAAAAAATGTATCAGAATCGTGACAAATATAAAAAAAACTGACTCATGCAGACCCACCCCATTTTAGAAAACTTGGTATACTCATATTTCTTGTGACATGAAAATTATAACAAATAAATAACGATTCTGCATTTTGATTTACTTAATTGAAGACATAAAGATTCCTATGGGTCACAGTGTTGATGGGCGTGCTCGTTTATCACCCTTATTCTATAAAAAAAAAACTCGGTGCGAGTCCAACATATATAACCTATCATTGCCGTGCCGTGAGGCGAGCATTTTAGCATGAGAACAAGAGATAAACATTCATCGTAAATATCACAAGACAAGTGAAATTGTTAATTGTGTATTTGAGTACAGATTTCTATATTTTTGTTTCTATTTTTTTTAAACGTAACCGTAACCTCCACACTAGGATTTTCTCCTGTATCGCGGGGGCAGTTTACAAACATAAATTGCACAAGGACCAAACATCCATACCCGGAACAACTATTTGTAGGCCATACAAATACTTGTTCCTTGTGGGATTCGAACCCTCGGCCCTTAGCGCTGCAACTCAATTGCTAAGCCACTGCGCCACGGAGCCGTCACGTCATTTATCGCGTCCTCGGATGTAAAGGACAATCATGAGGAAACCTGCATGTTTCAGGAATATAACGTTTCGAGGACATGTGGAGTCTGCCAAAACGCATTGGAGCACTGCGATCGACTAATAGCTCCAATTCAAAAGCAATATCAGTTTCAGAAATGAGATGAGGCTATTGGGGAGCATAAAGATGGACATAAATAACATCGACGTTTTTTCGATGCAAACAATACGTCGTATTGCGTTATCTATGTAACATCGATGTTTAGAAAAATTCTCAATTTTCGTAAAACTTCAATTGGGGCAATGAAATAAGGTGAAAAAGTTGACAGCTATAAATGGGAGTTATTTTGAAGGACTTAAATCTACAATAAATCAAAAGCAACCAGTATTTTGAACTGGTAAGTAGTTTGCATGATATTTTTTTTATTTTTATATATTTATACTTAATTGTACGTCTTAATAAAAAGGATTACAAAGGGCGGACTTAATGCCTTTTTACATTCATGATATGACTTAACGCATTGGTATTTGAGCTATGTTTTATTGATGAATGATGTATAGGTTTTTTTTTATAGGATAGGGTGACATGGTAAGTGGTTTCTGTGGCCAATAGACATCTACATCTATCCTCGTTTGCGAATCAAAAGGCAGATGCGTTGTCACCCGCGAGGACAAAGATGGAATGCCTCTTTTCCAGTAAAAAGGGTCTCCGGTTCTCTACACTCACAATTCAAAACACAGCAGTGTTAAGCTGCTATTTTACGCTCGTATTCTGTGAGAGCGTGGTCCTTCCCCGGTCGAGCCAACCTATTCGTGCTACAACTATACTACTAATATAGTTGCAGCATGGCTCTACTACGTTAAAAACATAATATAAAAAAAAATTCTAAGTGGTAGAGCCATGCTGCAGCTATATTATGGTTGTAACACGAATGGGTCGGCTCGAACGGGGAAGGACCACGCTCTCACAGAAAACCAGCGTAAAATAGCAGCTTAACGCTGCTGTCTTTCGTATGGTGAGTGTAGAGAACCGGAGACCCTTTTTACTGGCAAAGAGGCATTCCACCTTAGTCCTCACGGCTGACAACGCATCTGCATCTTGAGTCTTTATTGAGGATAGATGTAGATGACTATGGGTCACAGTAACCACTTACCATCAGGTGGACTGTGTGCTCGTTTGTCACCCGATCCTATAAAAAAAAAAACGATGCATCGTTGCTATGAGTCGCTTATTTTCGATGCATCGATGTATATATTTTGATTTTCAAAAAGCCTTTGATACCGTTGAAAACGATATTTTGTTGGTAAAGTTTGCCGAGTTAGGTTTTACGTTAAGTTTATCGACCAAATTGGCGATATATTAAAAATGGGCCAAATCAAGAGTACCTTTAACCGACGAGCGTGTATGCGTAGGTATATGGATGTGGAGGAAGCGAGAGAGGTGTGTCAGGATCGTGCCAAATGGTAGTCCATAATCTCTGCCTACCCCTCTGGGTGACAGGCGTGAGTGTTTATGTTTATGTATGTTTTACACCTAGCTTACTAAATTTTTTTGCAAATTATCTTAGTGGACGTAGACAATACGTGGATTTTGGAGGTTTTGAGTCGCAACCGTACTGTATTTATTCTGGAGTGAGTCAAGGGAGCAATCTCGGTCCTTTATCATTTATGTTAATGGTTAATGATCTTCCTACGGTCGTTGAGGAGGCACAGTGTTTGCTATTTGCCGACGATCTTAAAATTTATTTGAAAGTAAGCAATGCTTCTGACTGTCAAAATTTGCAAAGGGACATTGACAGAGTGGCACGGTGGGGTATAGAAAACAAATTGAGCTTAAATGTGAATAAATGTTGTGTCATGAGTTATGGTCGTGCAAAAGCCCCTCATAATTATGCTTACCAAATGAACGGCCTCGTAATCGAGTAACTCGAGGTGAGTTACACACATTAGAGACTTAGGCGTCGAAATGGTCCCGGAACTTAATTTTCGTAATCACATTTTAAATATTTGTAAAAAACTTTTAGGAATCTCGGCTTTATTTTAAGGCAGTGCAGGGATTTCCGTAATGTACTTACTATTAGAATTTTATATAATGCTTTCGTAAGAAGTCAACTTGAAACGAATGCCATTATTTGGAATCCACATGAAAGCAAATATAGTGTCATGATCGAAAAACTTCAAAATAAATTTACACGATTTTTATATTTCAAGCAGTACGGAGTCTATCCTAGTTTTCCACTCATGTATCCGAGTTTATTTGTACTGGGTATAGTCGGTTACAGCCGCCTGAGTGTGAGAAGAGACATCGCGCTTATTAAATATGTGTGGAACGTATTACGTGGATGGATACATCACCCAGAAGTGCTCGCTGCGCTAAAGCTATGTGTACCAGATAATTACGTGTGTTCTCGTCGCCGCGCCCCGTTACTCTTCGTGCCCACTGCTAGGACGAAGTTGCTTCAGAATGCACCATTGACACGTGCCATACACTACGTTAATATCATCTCACAGGATATTGACATATTTACATGTAGTCAGACGAAGTTCACAATTGCAGCATACAAATGCGTTGAAAATTGTAACTTTTTTAATTAGTATTTTATTTTATAATCATGTTAATATTATTATTCATTATTCATTATTTTATAGTCATTATTTATTAGTAATTAGTTTTCTTATATTTAGGTTAGTTATAGCATCGCATTGGTTAATATAACTGTAATGATGTTATAATTATGAAATAAATAAATAAATAAATAAATATTGTCCAGCCTTGGGCCAGCATTATAACTGTTCGTTACATCGAATCAGTCCAATACATCGTTGCTATGAGTCGATTATTTTCGATGCATCGAGGTATATTGTCTAGCCCTAGGCCAGCATTATAACTGTTCGATACATCGAATCAGTCCAATACATCGTTGCTCTGAGTCGATTGTTTTCGATGCATAGAGGTATATTGTCCAGCCCTAGGCCAGCATTATAACTGTTCGATACATTGAATAAGTCCAATACATCATTGTTATGAGTCGATTATTTTCGATGCATCGAGGTATATTGTCCAGCCCCAGGCCAGCATTATAACTGTTCCATACATCGAATCTGTCCAATACATCGTTGCTATGAGTCGAAGTCGATTGTTTTCGATGCATCAATGTATATTGTACAGCCCTAGGCCAGCATTATAACTGTTCCATACATCGAATCAGTCCAATACATCGTTGCTATGAGTCGATTATTTTCGATGCATCGAGGTATATTGTCCAGCCCTAGGCCAGCATTATAACTGTTCGATACATCGAATCAGTCCAATACATCGTTGCTATGAGTCGATTGTTTTCGATGCATAGAGGTATATTGTCCAGCCCTAGGCCAGCATTATAACTGTTCGATACATTGAATAAGTCCAATACATCATTATTATGAGTCGATTATTTTCGATGCATCGAGGTATATTGTCCAGCCCCAGGCCAGCATTATAACTGTTCCATACATCGAATCTGTCCAATACATCGTTGCTATGAGTCGAAGTCGATTGTTTTCGATGCATCAATGTATATTGTCCAGCCCTAGGCCAGCATTATAACTGTTCAATACATCGAATCAGTTCAATACATCGTTGCTATGAGCCGATTGTTTTCGATGCATCAATGTATATTGTCCAGCCCTAGGCCAGCATTATAACTGTTCAATACATCGAATCAGTCCAATACATTGTTGCTATGAGTCGATTGTTTTCGATGCATCAATGTATATTGTCCAGCCCTAGGCCAGCATTATAACTGTTCAATACATCGAATCAGTCCAATACATCGTTGCTATGACTCGATTGTTTTCGACGCATCGATGTATATTGTGCAGCCCTAAGCCAGCCTTATAGACACTAACTTGAACTTCAATAATATGAGTAGTACTTAACAACTGCGAGACCTAGATTTTTAAGGTCATGGCTATTACACCCTTGGTCCTAAGTTCAAAAAGTAGCCGAAGGCAACCACACAAAATTACAAAATTTTGTTGAGTCTTTCGTGTCTTGTTGGTTACTTTCTGCAAACTAGACGATCTTATCAGCATCCTTCTATAAGCTCTGAGTCACGGGGCAATCATAATCAGATCTGAGAGCCAACAATTTGCATTTCAACTCAAATATTGAACCTGACAAGAATTTGAAGAAAGGTCTTTTGTTACATAGGCCTGAAACAAAGAGCTGGATGCTTGGCAGTCCACGACTGTGCGTTTTACTAGGAGTTTTCTTCCTCGTACAACTTCTCTGTGGAATTGTTTACCACCGGCGTTTTTTTCCGGACCAATACGACTTAGGGACCTTCAAGAAATGAGCTTACATCTTCCTAAAAGGCCGGCAACGCATCTGCAATTCCCCTGGTGTTGCTGTTGTTCATGGGCGGCGGTAGTCACTTACCATCAGGTGAGCCGCATGCTCATTTGCCCCCCCCCCTCCTATAAAAAAAAAGATTTAAATTACCCAGCACAATGTTGACCCCAGTGGTGAGGTCCGCGTCCCGCATGTCGATCTTTTCCGTGAGCAGCAGCTGGACCCGAGGCGCCACGCAGCAAACAGAGATCACGTCCAACGCAGAGCGAACAGTCTCCGCCCTGGGGAACAACGGTGCCATGTAAAAGAAAATCATCAAGCCTACAGCTGGACTTGGTCAAAAGAATGCGCTAGCGTGCGTTTCCTAAGAGTGTTGCCCACAATCACCACGCTGGTGAAAATGATGATAGCAGTGAGATTTCGAAACTTCAGTGGAAATCATGAAGCAAATACAAAGAGGAGATGGCATAAGCAACTGTGCACTGTGATTCTAAGTAGGTCCTGACGTCATCATAGTGGGCGTGGCTTTAGTTAGAATACTGTCAGCATTTGTCCTATGCACTTGTGTTGAAAAATTGCAAATTGGTGTATTTTCATAGTATTAAGAAGAAAAGGATGAAGTGTTGTATTTTATCGTGTAAAAACTACTCAGATAGACGCTCTGATGCTATAGATGGCATCACATTTCATTTGTAAGTAATTATACACCTAATTTATTAAAATAGTTCTAGAAAAATCTCTTTGCGTCGCCTTTCAAATTTAATTAAATATATTCGACACTAGATGCCGACACTTTGTGTTATGTGAATTAAAAATATAAAGGTATAGTTTTACAAAAATCTCTTTGCGTCGCCTTTCAAATATAATTAAATATATTCGACACTAGACACTTTGTGCACTTGACACTAGATGCCGACACTTTGTGTTATGTGAACTAAAAATATAAAGGTACATAGAACTCAGTTTTGGTAAAATAATCATACGAAGGTGCTAAAATTTGTATTTGCATTCAGACATAAAGAAGTTTTAATCGCCAAAATATTATTTTTATAATTTATAATCATTTTGTGAACAGGCCGCCATCTATTGTCAAGGTAGCTATACTACATTGCAACATTGATATGGAACGGTTTGAGTAGTTTTACTATATCGGTAGATGTAGATAGTGTAAAGTGGGCGGGGCTTAACATCCCCTCACCCCGCAAATTGTCACGCATCTATTATATCTATTGTTCACATAGTGAAATCTAATTACAACACCTCCTCTTTGTATTTGCTTCATGGTGGGAATCGTTTACTAGTTAGAATCACTATATAATTTATGTGTTTTCATTACGATTATAATTATTGTAACCTTCATTATGATCTATATAAATAAATAAAGCTGAAGTGTCTGTTTGTAATTTCAAAATAACAGCTTTTTACTTAATGCATATGAAAGTATGTATGTATGTTTTTTTTTAATTTTTGTCTGTCTGTTTGTTCCAGCTAATCTCCGAAATGGCTGGATCAATTTTGACGGGACTTTTATTATCAGATAGTTAATGTTATAAGGAATAACTTAAGCTACTTTTATTTTAGAAAAAAAAGAAAAGTTAAAACCCTAAATTACACGCGGGCGAAGTCGTGGGGAACAGCTATATTATAATATAAAACTAGCTGTTCCCCGCCACTTCGTCCGTGTGGAACTTATTACGGTTGGTAACCAAGAAAATAAGTTTTGATTTCTTTGAATATTTTTTGTAAAAGTAGCCTTAGTTATTCCTTATAACATCAGCATCTACCAGTGAAAGTCCCGTCAAAATCGGTCCAGTCATTCATAGATGACGATGTAATCGATATCCAGACCGCTGAATACGAATACGAGACAGGTGGAGGCGTCAATCCGGCGGCCAAGCATGACAATTAAAGGCAAATCTTTTACAGAATGGGAGAGACCATATGTCGTGCAATTTGGGTCTCAGAATGTTGGCGAAGTGTGTAACAGTTTGGTGCAGCGTGACGCAGCATGTCGCGACGTGGCGCAACGTGTCGCGAGGTGCAATACCTGCCGTTAAAGTTCCACTCGTACGCGTAGCCGACGACCTGCAGCAGCAGCGCGACGCCGCCCAGCTCCAGAAACTCGTCGACGGGCGCCCAGCGCGACCACGTTACGGTCTGCAGCAACTCGATCTGCTCCTGGATCTCCTCTGGGGAGGACTTGGACGCCTGCGACATTTATCACAATTTTAAAGTTTTTTTGCACTGTTTAGTTTTTTTTTTGTAAAATGACAAGATAAGAAAAAGCACGAGGGAGATGGATATTATTCCATCTCGCTTCCTTATAGCTGCCAAAGCCGTCTACACTACATCAGAACGGGTGTGACGGAAAAATCTTACACTTTTTCTCGCCTAGCCCCCATCCGTTAAATTCATACTGTCCAAAAAATAAGTTCGTTCCAAAAAAAAAACTGCGGTTGTCAGCCTGCCTGACAAGTGTGGCAACTATGCCAAATATACCCCTATGAGACCTATGTTGTTTTATTGTATTTTTGATGGGCTGTAAAGAATGTACTAATATACTTTTATTTTTAGTTTGATCAGCAAGTATGTGCAGTCCGTACGATTAAAGAATGGGATTCGAAATGACGGCCCATCGTACCTCTCAGCCCGTACCGTCAACATGCACAGTATCAATAGCGAAAATCCGCTAAGAACGCTATATCATTATAAGGTTATATAACTAGGTTAATTGGAAATTTTCTATAAATGGGAAAATATTTGAAAATAATAATTGTATACGCAAGCAATTAATTTTAAAATAACATTTATAACACGCGCTCCGCTCTGGCTTTGCATGGGTAGGATCTATTAATGTGGCGTTATTTAGTCATAAGATAATCATTAAAGACCATTTATTTTATCTTATCAATATTTCTATTTTAATAAAGTCTCTAAAATTTCAGATAAAATTAAGTCTAGATTATTCTTGGTATTACTCTCTATTTGTTCGTGAAGTTTCAGCTTTTCTGAAGATTAGCTCAGAAAACAAACGAAAATTTTAGAAATGGTAACTCATGGCTCGATAGCGTCTAAATATTTTATACAAAAATATTCACAAACAAATTCAACAATAATTATAAAGAAAACTTTCAGAACGCGTCGTACGTAGATCACAAATTAGCGAAACCGGCCTATTATGGCATTTTGTAGTTTATGGCATTAATTCCAATGATAAGTTGGACTTAAGTTATAGAACGTACGAAAAACGCATATCGCAAGGTATTGTTTTGCAGTCTTTACCGGAGAGTGGGAGTATAGATAGCGACAGTATGCGAGCGCGAGGTGCATTCCGCCTGTGGCACCGCTCTCGAGCGGTCGTGTCCAGGTAGACCGCGCATCCGTCCCCGTACGGTAGTGCTCTCTCGCTCTCGCGCTCTCGCTGTCCTACTCACGCTGTACAGCGTCGACGCTTTGGTGAGTCATTTCTGCTAACAGTTCTTGCCCCCCTGTCTTCGGGCGGGGAGGTTTGACTGACCTCTGCTTGTTATTGTTATTGTTAATTCTTATTGTTAACTATTTCTAATTTTGTTTTCGTTATTTATTTGTCATTTGGGGGTCATTGTAGAAGCGTGCTCGTCGCGACCCCTGCCAGCCCTTTTCAGGGCTGCAATTCTACTAGCTGCGCACCCATGCCAACGAGGGTTAGAGCGTCCCCCCAAGGCGACGCACACCAGCTCGTCCCCGTTGGTGTGGAATGCAGCGCGCAAAGCGGCGATGGGGACCGCCATCCGTCACGCACAGCCCGACACGGCGGAAGGTGGAGGACAGAGTGCAGAGTTGGCACGTGGAATGTTAGAGGAGGCAGGAGAGATAAGATGAATGAGTTGATTGAAATAATGAAAGAAAGAGAATTAGATGTCGTGTGTATGTCGGAGACCAAACGGAAGGGTAGTGGTACTGAAGAGCTCCCTGGCGGGGCGTTAGCTCTATGGTCCGGAGTCCCGGAGAGCGAGAACGCCTGCCAGGGAGTGGGGGTGCTGCTGTCTTCTCGGTTGGTCGATGTTATGACTGAATATAAGGTTGTGAACTCAAGACTTCTCTGGGTTCGCTTTAAATTGGGACTGACGAAGTTATTCCTTTTGGCTGTTTATGCGCCGGTAGCTTCGTCGTCCAGGGCTGAGCTGAAGGAGTTTTGGGAGAATGTAAGAGAAGTTCTAGATTTGGCTAGGGGAAACGAAAGAATTGTTGTATGTGGTGATTTGAATGGATGGGTTGGTACCGCTCGACCAGGGTACGAGTCGGTACTTGGAAAGTTTGGCGATAAAAGGGTTAATGATGCTGGCAAGTTTATACTGGCGGTGTGCAAGGAAAAGGGTCTTCTTGTGACAAACACTATGTTTAATCACAAGAAAATCCATATGTATACTAGAGAACGAAAGAATGAGAGAAGTATGATCGATTTGTTCCTGTTGGATGACCGACTGCGAAAACAGGTGATGGATACGCGAGTGTTCAGGGGTGCTGACCTGAGAACGGATCACTATCTAGTGATTACTAGATTTAGGGGTCTGTTCGCGGGTTGGCGCTACCGGACGGCAGTAACAGAACCACAGTCGGTCTGTCGCATCCGAAGCTGGAAGCTTCAGGAGGCGGATACTAGGGACAAATATCATGCGAGGGTAGCCGAAAAGCTTGACACCATCGATGGCAGAAAAGAATGTGTAGAAAGAACATGGCAGAACCTTAGGGATGGAATGGTAAGTGCAGCGGAAGAAGTGTGTGGAACAACAAAAAGAGGCAGTAGTAAAAGAAGAGATGCATGGTGGAATGATGAAGTGAAAGAAGCTGTAAAGAAGAAGAAGAAAGCATGGTACTTGGCCTCTAGTAATGATAAGGATATGAGAGAGAAGATGAAAGAAAGATATAAGCTGCAGAAAGTTCACACGAAAGCATTGATTGAGAAAGTGCGTGAAAGGTGTAGAATGGAAGCGGACGAAAGGTTGTCGCACAACTTTAAGGAGAACTCCAAACTCTTCTGGAAAGAGGTTGGAAGGACCCGAAGTGGTGCGACGACCTTAAGAATGAACAAAGTGCTTTCGAGAACTAATGACGTCCTCTCAGAAAAATCGGACGTCATGCAGCGATGGAGCGAATTTTATAGAGAAATGTATGCGTGTGATGATCTTAGTGAGGGATCCGGGGATGACGCCGTGACTGGTACGCCAGACCCGGACCTCGGTGACACTGAGGTCATCAGTATGAAAGAGATTGAACGTGCGATTCGAAGTTTGAAATGTGGTAAGGCTGCGGGACTAGACAGAGTTACTGCTGAAATGGTCAAGTATGGTGGGCCTCGCGTCTGGGACAGCTTTCATCTGTTGTGCAATTTGTGCTGGCGGACGGGGGATGTCCCGGATGATTGGCGATCCGCAGTCATTGTGCCTTTATATAAAGGTAAAGGTTCACATTTTGACTGCGGGTGCTATCGGGCGATCAGCTTGACCAGTTTAGCAAGTAAAGTTTACTCGAAGGTTTTGACACGTAGGATGCAAGAGAAATCGGAAAGATTTCTATGGGAGGCACAATGCGGATTTAGACCTGGAAGAGGATGCACGGATCAAATGTTTTCTCTCCGCATGATCACGGAAAAGCTTCTGGCTGCTAACCAGAAGATTTTCTGTGCTTTTGTAGATCTTGAGAAAGCATTTGATAAGGTTGTAAGGAAGAAAATGTGGGAACTGTTGCCGGGGTATGGTGTGAATGGTCGATTGCTCAGGGCTGTGCAGTCTCTTTACTGTGACTGTAAAGCCTGTGTGCGGGTAGGGCATGACCTGTCACCCATGTTTAACGTCCAAACGGGCGTAAAGCAGGGTTGTGTCATGTCTTCCTGGTTGTTCATACTGTATTTCGACAGCTGTTTACAGAAGCTGAAAGATAGTTGTTTGGGTGTGAAATTGGGTGACATTAAAGTAAATTGTCTGCTGTATGCTGATGATGCAGTGCTTATTGCACCATCAGAGGCAGAACTGCAGGCATTAGTCACGTGTATGAAAGAGGAATGTGAAATTAAAGGTCTCCGTTTGAATGCTAATAAAACTAAGGTTCTGGTATTTGAAAGGGACGAAGAGAGAACGAAGTGTGAAATATGGGTAAATCAGGAATGTCTAGAACAGGTAAATGAAATTGTATACTTGGGGAGTGCTTTTAGCCGGGATGGAAGATGTGATTTAGATGTGGACAGGCGTGTCGCTGCCGGGAACAAAGTCAATGGTGCCCTGACTGCGTTAGTCAAAAGGCAAGGCGTAGCGAAGAGTGCACGCCTTGCAATACATAACGCAGTGTTGGTACCGACTTTGTTATATGGCAGCGAAACCTGGGTATGCCAGAAGAAGCATAAAAGTAAGTTGAATGCAGTGGAGATGCGATCTCTTCGTAAAATGTGCGGCGTTACCATGGCCGACCGAAAGCGAAACGAAGAGATTCGCAATATGGCAGGTTTGAAAGATGACCTTATCACAAAAATTGATAAGGGCGTGCTTCGGTGGTTTGGGCACGTTGAGCGAATGAGTGAAGACCGAATGGTGAAGAAAATATATAGCGCAAAAGTTAATATTAAAAGGTGTCGAGGTAGACCGAGACTAACTTTCGAAGACCATGTGAGCAAATTGCTCGAAGAGGGTAGGGTCAAAAGTACTCGGATACCTAGACGTGCATGCATGAAGAAGATAATGAATCTGAAAGAAGCGAAAGAGGTCTGTAAGGATCGTGACACTTGGCCATCTGTTCTCTCTGGCTACCCCGTCAGGGATTGTGCGTGAAGATAAGTAAGTAAGTAAGTAAGTTATTTATTTGTATAACGAGTACGTGCATATATTGTTTCTAGGGAGTTACTTGCTCTTTTCAGAGCAAGGCCCTGCTCTCAAAAGAGCACTAACTCCTTGAATTAAGAACGTCCCGTTCTTTTGAGAACGGTGATCCCGCCCTTACTGCTTAGGTACAGAACGTCTCTGTTCTTTTCAGAACAGCACCCCCTTTGTTTCAAATACGTACTGTTTCGTAAAACTACTGCCCTCAACATGTCCACAGTTACCCAAATTAAGTCGCTCGTCGCCGCCCTAAACCAAACTCTTGGTCTGGGCCTAAACCTCGATGAGACGGCCCTCGCCGCCATCGCCGCCCATGTTACTACCCCTGCCCGTCAGGCACTCCAACCGCCGCCCGTACTT